CGGGCGCCCCAGGAGCGAGCCGCTCTGTCCCCGGCCCAGGGTCTGCGGAGGCGCACGGGCGAGCCGTGCCCTGCGAAACCCCGGCTCTCCCCAGCGTTTTGCTCAGCGCCCCCGTCCCCACCCGAGTTTAAGCCTCTGAGGTTAAGCCCGCGCTTAAGTGCGTTGCTGCGCCGGGGCGCTGCAGCCGGCGCCCAGGGCGAGGAGGGACCGAGTCAGTTTAGCAGCAGCTGGAGACGCCGCTCCCTTCGCCCCGCCGAAGCGACTCGAGAAAAGTCTCCTAATAAACGCAGATCCTCCTCCCCTGGGAATCTCCGTGATGCTTAAAAAAACCCTCTCCCCCCCCCGCCACCCCGCGTACAAACACCTGAGCTTATTCGCCGGACGCCCGCCTTCCTCCGACCGGGCCGTCAGCGGCGTTTCCAGAGAAAGGAGCACAGCTCAAAACCGACAACATCGCACAACAACAAGAGGAAAAGAAAAAGGAGGTTAAAAGGTTTCCAAACTCCTGTTTCCCTGATGAACACTAATATATATCATTTGCATGTTAAAGTTCGATTCTTTTTTCTTTTTTCTTTTTAGAGAATAAAATAGAAGCTATTTACAACAAAACAATCAAACAACAACCTCTTAAAATCCCATATAGTGAGTGTAGTTCTCAAAATAAAGGGGGAAGAAAAAGGATCTAAATGAATAAAATATCTCCCGATTTCCAATTTTTTTCTTTTTTTTTCTTTAAAGAGGGTCAGGAGGTTTCATTAAAGCTCGCGTTGGCAGGCGTCCGTACGTCTGTCTGGAGGTAACACGAGTTAAAAAATAATAATAATAATAATAAATGTACAGTGCAAAGTGTGATGTGTGTGAGGTAAACAGTTCTGGATTTACAATGCATCGTGTCAAAACGCTCGTGGGACAGCCGCTGGCTCACGGTCCAGGCGGCTTTTAATGAAACGCCCCAGGGCTAAAGCTTTTTTTCCTTGCAAACAAAAAACAAAACAACACAAAAAGAGAACGAGACCCCCGGTG